AGTGCGCATGAGTGCGTTGTGTGTGGTGTGTGGGAGAGTGTTGACCTTAGACAACGCTGCTGCTCGATTTTTTTTTGGGGCGGGAGAGGGGGGGGGGGGGGGTGAAACCCACGAAATCGCCATCAACGATTTCGAAATCCGAAAACACTTCTCCAAAACGAACGACAACAAGGGCGTCGGGGCACGGGACACGAAACGAAAAACGAAACGAGTGCATCTTCCTGCAGAAAATGGCCAGGTTGATCAGTTTGGTATAAATAGTAACGAGTGTATTTTGCCACCTTTCGCTGGCAGATGAACTCGTTTCGTTTTCGTTTCGTGTGCCGTGCGGCGAGACCCCAAAGACCATGGCCCTCGCTCCTCTACTCACGAATACAACAGACAAAAATCATGTCGGTGTATCATGCTTGCTTATTACCTGGACTTACTAAATCAAGTTGGTAAAAAAATTTGGAAGGTTGTAATTTTTTAACTGCAGCAGTTTCACTCTCGTCTTGCACATATCGAGACAACTGCAGCGAGGCCCCTTGTACATTGTGGGGGACATTCGGGGGAAGGTGACGGGTAGACCCGCTGGCAGAGGCAACACGTTCGAAGCACCCGACAAAACAAATGCCAGCAATCAACGGGCCTACCACCCACTCCAGTCTTCCCCCGAATACAACGTACGGTCATTATAGCTGAATTTGGTGTATCTTTCAGTCTAAATTCAGTTATAATGACCGTACGTTGTATTCGGGGGAAGACTGTAGCGGTGTTGAAAATAAGACCTGGGACCAAGTCCCACTAGCAGCTTTCGAGTTTCCTCGAAGCCTGAATCTGGATGTGTTTGTGGAGAGGTGCGGTTGAGAAAACTCAACTCGATTTCTGTTGAAAATAAGACCCTAGTTCGAATCCCTCGATGGACTCAACCAAATCAGTTTTTTAATTACCTGGACCCGGTCAGCTCGATGACAAAATATCGCGAAGGCGTGTTGCCGCCCGGCGATGCTCGCAATTGAGAGAAAGCCCAGGTCCATCTTCACCTGAGTACAACGTACGGTCATTATAACTGTATTTGGGGCAACATCGAGTCTAGATACAGCAATAATGACCCCACGTTGAACTCGGACTCGGGTGAAGACGGGTAAACTAATCCTCGGAAACGCATGAGAAGAAGAATTGACATTCAAATTAAAAACACAACTGAAGAAAATGATATCCAAAACCACGAGCTCGAAACCAGACATACAATATTAAATCGCCACATCTTAGTTTTGTTTTTGGTATCTTACAACGCCCAGTAAATTTGAGAACTCGTGGACGATTGAAAAGAAAAAAAAAAAAAAAAAGAACGAGGCCGACATGAATCACTGTCATTTCAGATATGAATCTGAAATGAAAATAGGAACGAGCTCCCCAGCTCTTGCGCAAAGTCCCACTTGCAAGCAGGTTTGAATTGAGCGCCTGAATCCGGATGCGTGTTAGTTAGAGATGCAGAAAGGCATTTCAATCGCGATTTTCTGCACTTCTCCGCAAAAACATCCAGATTCAGGCGTTAGATCCAATCCTTTTCGCTAGCGGCCCCTGGTGAAGCAGGACAACCTGGCTGTCCGGGAGCCTGTCCCTAATTATGAACTGTGTGTATGTGCCTTCGACACTGGGCGCTGATAATGCTCCTATCGGAAAAAGACGAAAATTTTTCTTTTTCTTTTTCTTTTTCTTTTTTTAGTTTACACTACTGCAAAAAGAAAACAAAAACAATCTTATACAATGGACCTCGCTACAGCTGTCGAAACTAGAAAAGTGCTACTGCATGTTCCTGTAGGGGATGACCAGATGCATCGCAGCCGTCAATAGTAACGGACGCATATTGCCACTTTCTGGGCAAGATGCACTCGAACTCTCATGGTTTTCTTCGCCAGTGGTGTGGCGCGGACCTATTATATAGTAACTCGCCGAAAACAATGGGCCTCGCTCCACTACTCTCCACATGCAATGAATACAAAGGTTTTGTCGTGCGGGGCAAGGTGGGGGGGGGGGGAGAGGGGGGTTAGATATAACTTTTCCCTACATACATATGGCTCTTCGCTACCTAAGAAACAGCTACTTAAGGAAACCGTGACCCGAACCGATCCAAGGAGTAGAGGCTGGCAAGTGGAAGGCTGCGTGTTCGATTCTCAGAAAGATAGTGCAGCTGCGTTAAATTTACTAGTAACTAGGGGGTGATTAACCATAGATCCCATTGTATCGGAGAGACTAGAGACTGGCAAGCGGAAGGTTGCGAGTTCGACTCTCGGATCGACAGTCCGCCTGCTCTAACTCTACTACTGGATCCCATTGTATCGGAGAGACTAGAGACTGGCAAGCGGAAGGTTGCGTGTCCGACTCTCGGATCGACAGTCCGCCTGCTCTAACTCTACTACTGACTAGAGCGCCTCATTAACCATGATGGATCTGATCGGAGAGAGTAGAGACTGGCAAGCGGAAGCTTGCATGTTCGATTCTCGGATCGACAGTACGGTTGCTCTACCTTTACTTGAAACGGATTAACCATGGATCCGATAGGAGACAGTATGTCACACCATAAACAAACATTATTTCGCACCATAAATAAACATTAACGATTGTTAGTTTTGATAGCTTTACAATGAACATGAACCACACGCACCCCCAAATGGAAACAATGACGAGATTTTGAATTATTCTTATTGCGCATGACAATGTCACTCAAAGTAGCCACAGTTGGGTACTCGATAAAATAAGCTGAGAACTGCTCTCATTGAGTTTTTTTTTCGGGAGGTGGAATTGTGAGGTCCCGAGCCTCAATCCATAGTAACGTGAGAGACTAACTCTGGCTCGACTCCACGAATTCTCGAAACCGAAAGACGTGCGAATTAAAAAAAAAAAAAAAAAAAAAAAGAAGGACGTGCGATTTTTAGCATTCCTCCGAGTTCATAGTAAGGTGAGAGACGTGAGAGACTAACTCTGGTTCGACTGCACAAATTGTCGAAACCAAAAGACGTGCGATTTTTGGATTTCCTCCTCCGACTTCTTATTACCGTGAGAGACTTAAGGCCTCGTTAGACACTCCTTGGGGACGTGCAATCCACAAGGACGTGCTCGTTCCACCTGTCCTTGGGGACGAAATTGAAAAAGAAATGGGAAAATTCCTTGTGGCATCCTTGTGGCCCCAGCCATTTCTTCCTTGTGCCCAAGGGACCTCACGAGGTCCCTTGGGCACAAGGAATCCGCGTTTCACGGAGAGGAGAGGGTACACGGGACGTTACAGCTGAGAATCTGGATCGTGGCGGCACCCTATTGGCTGAAGGCCTGAAGCACAACTGTTTTTTTTTTTTTCTTTTCTTTTCTTTTTTCTGACATCAGTCCTAGGAAATGTCCTCGGGCGACGTCCCCAAGGACAGGTGTAACGAAGAGCCCAAATTCCCTTCCGAGCCACAAGGAAAATTCCTTGTGGCTCAAGGAATTCGTAAGGAGTGTCTAACGAGGCCCTTAACCATACGTGCGATTTTTAGAGTTCCTCCGAGTTCATACTAACGTAAGAGACTAACCATACGTGCGAATTTTAGAGTTCCTCCGAGTTCATACTAACGTGAGAGACTAACTCTGGTTCGACTCCGCGGATTGTCGAAGCCCTACGTGCGATTTTAGAGTTTCTCCGAAGTTCTTAGTTCCCCTCCTGAAGCCGGCAACCGTCTGGCTATGGCTGGCGCATGGGGGTCGGCAAGCGTCTGGCTATGGCGGTGGCAGAGCCGTCACGTCGGCTACCGATGACGCCATTTGGGCTGCCGACGAGATTTTCTTCTGAAGAAAAGAAAACCAAAAAACTCTCCACATAATCGACCATGCCGACGTCCAAACTATCGTCTGAACCATATTACAAGATCACGGTGGGTAATTCGTCATCATCGTGGCATCACCTACTGGCATAGCTCGGTCGGCACACATATGAACTGTTGTGAACAGACAGACCCAAGTTTGAGTCCTTACGGAACTGGATGAAATGAACAGAACAGAACAATTCAGAATAAACTGGGGCCAGTCGGTTCGATGATGCCATCTCAAGGCATCATCGCCCCCATTTCAAAGAAAATGGAGAGAACAGAAACTGTTCTTATCGGGAACATCGTCGTCATCGTCATCATCAATGCCGCCACGATCCTGACAGCCGTAACCATCATGGTTATCACAAAGCCATCATCTATCGGAATTGTCATCATACCAACTGACCTACCTCAGTTGCTACAACCAATTGAACTGTCGAAACACAGACGTGAGATTGAATTCGAATGGAATAAGACAAGTGTGAAAGTGACCTGGAGCCGGTCAGTTAAAAGATGGTATCTCAAGTCAGTCGCCCCTCTAAGGAAAACGAGGAGAGAGTAAAAAAAGAAATCGCCATCACGAACGACCACCCTTCATCCTCGTCCATAACCTGTTCCGTGCTCGTATTGACACGATTGGACATCCTCTACAGTCGGCAAAGACGTTATCATTTGTACTATCGTCCATATTGTCAACAGCAAAATTAGCATAAACATGCTCATTACCATCATAATCATCATCATCATGCATTGCACAGTACAGACGCCAGATTTGGCGCCACTGTTGCGATTGTCTAGAGATCGCACCGAAATGCAAGCGTAACACATGAGATCACCTGCGGCATGAGAAAAGGAATACCAGTAGCTGGTTTGACATAGAGACGATCGACTTCTCGGCCGCTACACAGGTCCACCGTCAGATTTGAGGCATGCAGAAAACGAGAGCCGTTCCACTTCAGCTTAATTACTGACGTCACAGACATCCACAACGACAGATAAGGACATAATTTCGTGGAAACGACTGAAAACCCATCATACCCACAATTTAGAGAGAGAGAGAGAGAGAGAGAGAGAGAGAGAGACAGAGACAGAGACAGAGACAGAGACAGAGGGGSGGGGGGGGGGGGGGGGGGGGGGGGGGGGGGGAACAAAGAGGATGGGAGTGAGAATACCGACCTTTGCAGCAGTGTTGACATGACTAAGGTCAGCAGCTACACCAGGGGTAGCCATAATATCGTAAAGAGACAGCCGATCAATGGCGGGATTAAGCTTCATAAGCATTCCGAGAGGCTGCCCGATACCTCCAGCAGCGCCGAGAAGAGCCACTTTGTATGAATTGGAGGCCTCCTTTGCAGCAGAAGCAGCCGCCGAGCTGCACAAAGTGCGTCTAGCAAGAGGCAATAATCTCCCGCAGAACGCCATGTCGACGATGCCCGCCGACTGCGCGAACTTCAGCGATATCTCCTCGGTAGACCGGCTAACACCGTGAGGCAACAGATCGCTTGGACTAACCTCTGCCTGGCGCAGCCTGCTCACAGTCCTCACCCTTCACTCCGTCGAAGCTCGCCAGAGAAGACAATCTAAACCTCCACTCCGTCGAAAATCAAGCTTAGCCTAGTCAATGGAAAGACACAAAATGCGGACAGATTATAAAAATTCGGGCGGGAGTGCCGCTACTCCACCCTCGCGGCTTGCTCGCCTTTTCAGAGGCGGCGGCTGCTCGATCGCACACAACTATGGCTGGGTGGTGTACTCGGCCCACACACAGAGAGGTGGAGGGAGGGCGGGAGAGAGAGAAAGGAGCGAGCAAACGAACCGAGAAGGAAACAAAAAGGGCAGAAAGAGGCGCGCTCCAGGTATGCTGACTCTCTGCAAGACTCTACACTACTTCATGATCTCGTTGATTCTCCGATCCCTTTTCAATCTCGTGATGCTAACCCTTGTGCCGAACCCCGCTCTTTCTCGATCTCGAGAAAGACCTCGATGGAATGGAAAGCACGAAGTTACGAACTTCCCAAAAAAAAAAAAAAAAAAAAAAGAAGTTACGAACGATGGTCAGTCGCCGCGCTTCACGTTTAGTTACGACTGGCTGGCGAGATCGGTACGCGGCTGTGCTTTTTTTTCAAACGTGTTTGGACACAGCTCTGACGGTCCCGCCCTCGCTGGCGCGCAGAAGTAACGAAAGTGCGAACCGCGCGCGCGGCCGGGCTAACGCAGGCAAAACGGCGCTTGGCAAAAAATCTTATTTGTCGTTTGCAGATTTGAATCGGTAATGTGTTTATGAATTTATGAAAAGGGGGGGGGAGGTCCTAGAAAACACCCCTCGGTTATGTCGGCACCCCTGATGGTAAGGGGTCACGGGCCTGAGTGAGGGGTGCAGTGGGGGAATTGCTGAGGTCGGGGGGGCGAAGGAGGTCCGGAGAACAGAAAGGGGTCATGGATTCGGAAAAAAAAAGCAACATCCCACTTGCCTTGATTCTTCGACCGTGGATAGTGAGGACTGAGGGCGCAGCCAGGGCAGAGGGGTTGTAGAGGGGATGAAGTTTTGAGTTCCAAGGACAACGATAGCGGGCCGGGAGGCCGAAGTGGCGAAGGGATAAGTCCTCTCAGAAAGCAGGCGAGATGCACTGGGCCTTGTTTATCACACCTTACACCTTGTGGAGGCCTGACTTTATATTGCATTTTCAAGAGTTTTTTGTGGTTTGTACACTCTTCTTTGCCCACCCATACTAACTTTTTTATACACGCATTCGGTGATCACCCTACCCCCTTGACTTATCTACAGAAACATCTAAATAGTAGACGTCAAGGCACAAAAGTGGGATTCAGTAGGGGCTTCGTTCCACGACCCTCGATTTAAAAAAGCTAAAAAAAAAAAAAAAAAAAAAAAAACAGACCGAAGTCCGATTCCGGTCCTTGCCTAAGGCCGGTCACCTCACAACCTCAACCCAGCCCTGAATCGTTCGTCGACTGCATCCCCATTTTGGCTGCATCGGGGGAAGACCATTCAGCTCAGAAGGCACAGGAGTGAGATTCAGTAGGGGGCTCGTTCCACGACCCTCGACTTGAAAAAACTGAAACACCCGACAACCCCCCAAAAAACACTCAACCCTCCACCCGAAAAGGAAACGTGGTCGCCGCCCATCACAGGCCCGATGAACCTGATGAACCGACCAATTGCCTAAAGCCAAGTCAAGTTTAGGCTTCAGTCGTCGATTCAGGCTTCAGTCGCCGAGGAAACGAGACCCCTTTTCTTGATCTCAATTTCGACCCCCCCCAAAAAAAGCCCAGAGTCGACTCGTCGACGACCAAATCAAACAACCCGCTTGCCTTTCGACCCCCCCCGAAAAAAGCCCAAAGTCGGTTCGTCGACGACCAAATCGAACGACCCGCTTGCCTTCGACCCCAAGAAAAGAGTTGAACCTTCCCCTTTTCGACCCCCCCAAACGACTGCAAAAGACCTGAACCTACTGCTTTTTCAATTCGACCCGCCCCCCCCCAAAAAAAAGGCTAGAGTCGACTCGTCGACGACAAAAAAGACATGAACCGGCATCCCTTTGAACCCGGTTGCCTGACAGTGGTGACGTTCACGCTTGAAATATCGTGAACTAACAAACGAAAACAACCAAAGGCATTAAACGACCAGTACCTCCGAGCCTGTTTTTGCCGACCCTGAATTTCACTGCGATCCGAGTTTGTTGAGCCTGGGAACCACTCCATTTTCTTTTTGGTACTCTCACGGAAAGAACAAAAAAAAACGAAAAAAAAGAAAAAAAATTGCGGTCGTGAACCTCAGAAACGAAGAAAAAAAAAGAAAAGGAAACAAAGCTTTGGCCGTGATTGCAGTTGCATACATTTTTGGAAGTGATAGTGTGAATGTGCCCTCAATGAGGGCATCTCAGCCCCGTGGCCAGGTTGTCAGATTCCAAAAAGATAATAAAAGGGGAAAAAAATGGGCATATGGATCCGACCGTGAAAATGGCTGGATACATTCTCCTAAGTGCCAGTGTGTACAATCCTCTTACAAAACACAGCTTGAGCAGATCACGGACAGCTTGAGCAATTCATGGACAGGGGATTCATTAGAAACACCCCGCCTTACCTGTAAGGTGCATTCTGTGGAGGAAGATTGTGAGCACGGTCTCCTGGACTACCCAGCCCGACATCATTGCAATAGAGAAAGCATTTTTTTTTCCCCTTTTTCCGTTCACTCGCGGCACTATAAAATTCAGATTTATGAGACATTGTCGATCCTGTGTCCCACCCCCGAAAAGTTCGGGTACTAGCCAAGACATCATAATTTCCCAACATTGGCGAAGGTACTGGTGGTTTAAGACATTTAAAATTAAACTAAAATTAAAATAAATAAATAAATAACTTAAATAAGAAATTAAAATTAATTAAAACTAAAATTAAAAAAAAAAAACTCAAACCTCCCCCCCCAAAAAGACATCAAGCCCCCCCCCCAAAAAGACCTGAAGCCCCCCCCCCAAAAAAAAGAAAAAGAAAAAAAAAATGAAAACACCGAGAAAAAAAATCAGGAATGATGAAAAAAAAAAGAAAAAAATAACAGAATTCGAAGTGGTGCCGTAAAACGGCACAAACGACGGCCAATCAAGAAAGACGGGACAAGAAGAAAAAAAAGGAGGAAAAATAAAAGAAATGAACCCACTTGCCTGGGAGCGGTCAAATTCATTCAAACAAATTCATTCATTCATTCACACTTGTTTCATGAATGAATGGAACGACCGAAACCATTAAAAAAAAAAAAAAAAAAAAAAAAAAAAAAAAACAGAAAGCCACCCCAAAAAAAATCAACCCTCTTCCCGAAAAGGAAACGTGGTCGCCACCCATCACCCGACGAACCTGATAAACCGACCAATTGTCCAAAGCCTGCGATGACCACTCGCATTACCGGTCCGTCTCCTAGCCTCGACCGCATCCTTCCCACCCCCCCCTAAAGCCCCAAAACACCCTCTCGAACCTCGATTAAAGTCCACGACATTTCCCGAACAGGAAAGAAAACCTTGCAACCCAGGTAAGCGTAACCTCTGGCTGTGAAGGGCATGGGCTCGCAGGCTGTACTATGAAGGTCAAGATGTAGAGAAGAGGGGGCGAGGGGGGGGGAGGGAGGGAAGGTGTACAGGGACTAAAGCAGAGTCGAGTGAAGGTGAAGTTGTAGAGGGACCGAAGCAGAGGTGTCATTTTGTTCAGACGTGATAAAGCATGAGAATGACAAAATTTGAAAAGGGTCGAGCCATTCAAAAAGCAGAGATGACGAGACGAACTGCTGGAGGAGGGGGGCTATTCGCCCACCACGTTCACCCTCTCCCCTCATGAATTGTTTTCTCGATATAAGACGAGAAAGCACCAGCATGACAAAATTTGGTGACGCCCCTCTGGGGTACTTTGTTGGGTTTGTCGACCACAAGGTCGCACTTGTTTGTTTAGGACTATTGGGTTTGACCCCTAAGTGGGCATTTGTTGGTTGTTTGGGAAGCCCAAAGGCGACCACTTGTTTGTTTGGCTCTGCCCCTCTTTATTGGGTGAAAGACCCACATACCTAAGCTGGGTACTGCTCCCAACATATGACAAAGTTTTTTTCGGGTTGTTTGTGAGGAATTTTTGGCCTCATGTTTTCATGAGAATGGGCAAGTAACCGTTGTCAATGCGCATTGTGGTATGAGGTTGCGGGTTCAAAACTCAGTGTCTTTGTACAAAAACATTGGCGAACTGCCATTTCGTCAAAATTGACATCTTTTATTTTTTTAACAAAATTGAAACCGAGTTTTTTTGCCAAAAATTCGTCAAAATTTGTTGTTCCTGAGGGTCAGGCATTTGTAAAACGCTGGACCCTCAGGAACAACAAATTTTAGCGAGTTTTCGGCCAAAAAACTCGGTTTCAATTTCGTTCAAAAAATAAAAAATGTCCCATTTTGCCGAAATGCCAGTGGTTGTTGGCGGACATTTACATTATATAACGCATGGTCACTTGCATACCCCATTGGGCTGACGCAGGTAAGCTATTACAGTCACTGCCTGCGCACCACCCAAAGGATTGTCCATGGTGTTGTATGTTGGGTCCTGGCCTATGAGGGGTTTACCTGATACAGTTAGCGGTCTAATAGGGATGCAGGTATGGATTGTGGTTAGACTGCTCAGGTCAGTTGGTTACCTTAGGCTTTGCTTTGGGGGGGCAAGGACCTTAGGTGGGATGGGGTCCCATTCGGGGGGAACCTGTGACGTTCAAACTGACACCATGTGCTGTCTTCCGGTCGGAGTGAGAAACTTATGCGGAACAGGCCCTGAAAGAACAACAAAATCGGGTGTGTCAAGGATTTTTTAGTGTGGGGATACAAACGAAATTGAAATCCCCCGTGTGGTTCCATTTTAGTGACAAATGGTCATAGAAACGCGGCAAAGAAATARCGCTCGCTGCTTTCAAACGTTCATTAATCCAAAAAGTATATCTAAGCTTCCATGCAGGGTACTTGACATCTTTTCGAATGAAAGGGCGGGGGTACGCACTTGGGGTCTCGTTTTCGAATTAAGTCCCGGTGTCATTCGCTACAGAGCTCGAAACCCAACGTGGATGGCCTCAACCTGGTCGCTCTTTCCTTGTGTTCGTCCTCGGCACGTGTCCAGTAGTGGAACCTTTTTTTTCCAATAATGCTCAGTGCGGCGGCAATCGCTACACAGAGTGTTGGGCCAATGAGGTGTCATGACCATCCACGGGATGACTGTCAATTCATTAAAAGGTAATAAGAATGAGTATGGGGAAAATTAGTATCAACAATGACAAAATCAACACCTACAAATCTTGAGCACCTTGTTTCGGGAGGAAAATAATAGCGCCCACCGATTTTGGCGACGACTTCTTGAACGTCTCACTCACATATACGTGTTTTTTCCTCGTTATACGGGAAAGGGC